CCCCGCCCCCCCCCCCCCCTCCCAACCCCCCCCCCAAAACGGAACCATAATCAATCGTTAATGGTATAATCGGGATACTTATTTACGAGAGAATACAATAAATATACTGTAACGGTTGTAAAGCGACTGTATGTATGTATATATACATATACATATGTATGTAAAATACAGCGTACGCCGAGTTCGAAAGCGGAAGTGCGTTGGAGAACGCAATATGGAGGAAGAAAAATGATGAAAAGAAAAAAAAGAAGAGAGAAAAAGAAAGTCAAGAAAAGGAAAACCAGAAGCAAGTTCGACGGCTTTCCCGCACAGCTATATATAATTTTTCTAAGGCAGAGCATGTGATGTTAGAGGTTACACATACATATTTTAATCAATAATCGCATATAAATTTTCGGAATGGGTGTGCGGACAAAGGTGTACCGATGTCTGGGTATCGTGCGGTTCTCCTGTTTATTCGTTTCCCTTTACGAATCTTTTTTGTTGTTTTTGTGACATTCCATGTTTCCAAACTCGCAAACGAGCAAGAGATCGAAGCTACGCGTACCACGAGCCGCGCTTTTGTGCATGTATTTGGGCAAAAGTTAAGAAGGACTCGTCTCAGAATTTTGATTGGCTCACCGAACCACTTAACCTAATTTTCTATTTCGCTTTACGCCGAATTCTGAACGACAAGCGTATAGTCGTGTTCGAATTGTATCGTACCAAGACATTCGTGTATAGTTTAAACGAACTTTCTGTTCGCGTTTTGCGTTGCGTCGTATCGAACATGCGTACGTGCAATGGAAAACGCAGGGGAAGGGACAACGCCTTACATTTTTCTGAGACGTTCTTTGCAGAACCAAGTGGCTTCGTACGCCAACGTAACGACAAAGGATCGCACTGCCTAAATCGGTAATAAAGAGCGAAAGTGGTGAATGCGTACAGTGTTACCTAGCGTGATTAATACGTGAAAAAGTGTATGTGAGTGAGTCGAAACGATATCAACGTATGTGATCAGCGATGGTGCTAATTGAAACCCCACTTAGAACTATCAGTTGTCCTCGAGACGCCGCCATTGAATCACAAAGCAATCTGTCATAGTACGATGCATAGGGATTATTTTGATTCGTACGGTTTCCATTGAACGAGGAAAAGAAAATGAGGAGGAGATTGAATTTTTGCAACGGATGGATCGAAATGAATCGTAATGATAGGCGACGCGTTACGAAAGAGTGCTTTGTTGATTCAAATTTGGCGCGACCCTTATTTTCACGATAGAAAGTGGCAAATTGGCAAGCAAATACATACCATCATCGTTCACCCCATATCGCACAAAGAAGCAGCAAAAGTATGCAACATTCCAAACGTTCACATGCAATAGAGAAACATCACATGAGCCCCGAGACACCATGCTCCTCGTAGAAACAGCGAGGGAATCAGTCGCGACGCACCCACTTTTTGCGGTAATTCCTTTGCAAAGCACTAACTCTCACTTAATGCGTTTATTAGTCGGCGTAAACGATCCCGGGCGGTAAATCTTTCTAATCGATATACTTTACGAAATTTCCGATTGAATGTAGTCACGAATAAAAGTGAGTGAATAAAACGTGTGTATTCGAAACGAAACTGACGCGCAGCACTTACCGCCATAGCTGCTACTGAACCTACAGCGCCCTCACAGAATTTCCGACGCGGTCAATTCGAACGATCCGTGCATTTAAATCGAAACTGGTTCCATTTACGTTATTTGTTTGATCGAATATTTAGAAATCGCTTCGTAACTATGCTACTAATTTGCATTTAACTTTCAATCGCGCGAACAGGAAACGTGAAAAGAGCAGAATGTTTCCGGCAAAGTTAAGGAGAAAACATGGTGCGTGATCGGGGTAGAAGTCGTGCCAAAAATCCCCTTGCCACCGCGTATCGCTTCGTCATTACAATTGTACCACCCGTTGCCATGACAATAAAAGTTTGTATCGTGTTGTAAAATATATCATACGTAAAATTAGAGTCGTGAATGCTGTCGATACGTCGTCGATGAAACGGGCTTGTTTGTACGAATTTATTTAGGATAAAACGAATGCGAGACTTAGTCGCATGTTTAGTGATCGCAAGCAAGCCGACGACGAGATCAAATCCGCCATCGACCAGCATACAGCGTACGATCCCACATCTTTTTTGTTTCTTTTATTTTTCTTTTTTTTTTTTTTATTATTTTTTTTTCTTTTTTTTTATCGTATCGCAGCAAGTATCATTGCTTAGCATTGCAATCCTGTAATTATTTCATTTTTTCGAATCATGAATCATGAAATCTATCGATGATTGATTGATTTGTCAGGCTGTGCGAATCTGATAGTCTGTCGTGAGACGTATGAAAGTGTCTTTGTTTGTATAATCGAGCGTATGAAAGTGTGTCGGATGAATATATAAACAACAATAAAAACAAATAAGCGATTAGATGAAATTCTACGGGACGAGACTCGTCTGTATATAGAGTTTTTGTGAAATATACTTGTAATAACATGCTACGTGCGGTTGTACTGAAAGTGACAAAAAAAAATAATGTAATATGAACACGCGCACGCGTGCACACACACATACATACAATCACACGAACATATTTTGTATGAGCATGCGAAAAAGAAAAAGGTATAAGTTTTGTTAAGTATCTATGAATTTATTGTAATGATGTACGTTTAAGTAACGATCACGTAATTATTGCTAGAGAGAGTGTTATTTATTTTTATTTGTTGCAAATTTATCGATTGCCTTCCATTTGAGTAAATAAATAAATCTAAAGTTATTCGCTAAGCTGTTTATTTCTTTTCCCGCCAATTCATCGAACTACGCTTTCAAACGTTATCGAATCAATGTTTATTTTGTCAATTTTTTACAATTCTTTATATTTTCTTCCATCTTGGAAAAGCATATATTCAAAATTCTTTTACAAATTCGGAAAGACATCAAGCACAATGCGAACACGCATGCGTGTTGAATAACTTCGATCAGGGTTAATCTATACGTAAACGTCAAACCGAGTTAACGTTGTTTCATACTTTGAAAGATCGGTAGTGAACAAAATTGAGTAAGTGCGAAAAAATGAGAATCAACAAACATATACATCACTAATTACCTACACGCTATCTCTTCGAGTCAAATGCGGACAAGATTCCTGCAATTATCCACGTTTCGTACTCAAAACATAATCATATTAGAAACATAACCTCTGAAATGTTTATCCGCAATAGTATGTTTTAATATAAAATTTTCTAAAAATCGAAATATTTCTGATTAGTAATTGAATGTACGTTTCAGTTTCTTCTGCCAAGTGAAAAGTTACAGTACAATTGAAATAACGTTAAATTAATTTGGGATTCTTTGATATTTTTCATATTTTGTTGCTTATAGTATTGCATTATGCTACTTATAACATGAACAAATTGCTGAAAACTAGTTTCTTTGTATGACTATATATTGTAGTAAATATTACAATCTGCAGAAGGCGAAAATCCAAAAATAACAATGATACGCAAACAAAAATTAACATCAAACGATACAATAGCTCCAAAGAAAACACACTGGGCAACAGGTTTGCTTGTTTCTATGGAAGATCCTGAATATAGGGTAAAAGAGGATGACAAGGTAGTCGTCATCAAAGATAAATACCCAAAGGCTCAATATCACTATTTAGTTATACCAAAAGCAGACATTCCGTCGTTGTGGCATATAACAAAAGAAACTGAAGATATAGTGTTTCACATGCACAGTGTCGGTGAAGATTTGACCAAGGAGCATAAGGATTCCGAGTTCCTGTATGTACATCCATTTTTATTCTTTGCATTTTAGTATTAAGATTAAATTACGAATTTAACACACGTATATGTATAATAAATGATATCTGCTTTTATTTAGCATCGGATATCACGCTGTCCCAAGCATGTACAGATTACATTTGCACGTTATAAGTACAGATTTTAACAGTCCAAGTTTAAAGACCAAGTATCATTGGAATTCATTTACAACTCCCTTCTTCCTACCCTCAGCAGGTAAATATGAATGCATTGAGAACGAGAAACACTCGATTGAAACAAGAAACAAAAAGGACACAGATCTTATCTCTTTTAAATTGCAGATATTTGCTACCAGTTACGCGACAAAGGTGAATTGAAAAGGTTAAAGTCAGAAGATAGTGCAAAACATTTGAATACCCCGCTAAGATGTCACAAATGTCTGACCTGTATAAAAAATATGCCAGAATTAAAAAAGCATTTATTGAATCATTTGTCTAGGCAGGAAAGCCTCTTCGATTTCTCATCGATACACGAATGACCACTAGCGTCGATGTAGCACGCAAAATAATTTCGATGGAATAATCACTAAATTGCATAGATGTGTTTCCTATTCTGTATTTCCTTACGCTATAGATAAATTCTATAATAAAGTATTCTTGCAATATTCATCAACGTTAACGTAACTAGATATTTAAAACATCGATGTTATCGATCGAATCATTATTTTAAAAGATTGAATAATTTTAAGTATCGTAATTAGTGTGCGGTGTACAATAATTGTAATGTAATAAACGAATACACCATTCTGTATATACTTACCAAAAATTTATTACGATCCTCTCACGTAACTTAAACGTAGAAAGAAAAATTACTTTTCACGATTCTAGCGATAATAAGTGGGGATATAAGGAAAGGTGGGGTGTTGTTGATCGATAACACAAAAACATACGATATTTCGGAAAATTTACTATAAATAAATTTGATGTTAATATTAATAGGTCTTGTCGCCTATAATATCAATTACGTGCTAACTATTTACAGAGTCTTCTTATCCAATGTGAAGTATTTAGTGTGTATAAGTAAACCGTTGTGTAGGTGTTGGCGTGTAAGTGTACTTTTAGTCTGTATACATTTAGTAATACTGCAATTAATAGTTGAACCGTCCTTGTTACGCCGAAACGGTAGGCATTTAAATAATCGCAAGGCCTTGTTGTTATTGCTTGCGTAGTTTACGTTAGTGTATTCGAATGTTTACTCTTCTCTTTTTACATACACGTGTTCTCGCTCGATTTTCCTTTCGTTAAGTATTCGTTCTTCCCTCTCGCGAGCGTATAAATTAAATTAGCTATATCTTTCGCGTCGAACGCCTCACAACAAATACACTAGAGATTTTCTTTAAGTTCAGTTAGAGTAAGTGAACTATAATAAAAAAAGGAGGTAAGCGTCGCCCTTTGGGGTTAGGAATCTCATGACCAGTCTCCAAAACCGACGGAAAACTATTTAATAAAAGCGACCACCTTTCCCCTCGACAGGAGCCGGCGCTCAGGAAAAAGATCGGCCTTTCCACCTGAAAGTTTGCAACGTCTGCATAAAACGTAGAGCCTGCAAAGTTTGCGAAAGTGGAAACGGCCATTGTCGCACACACCGTATCACCGACCCGTGATTAAAACGCTTGCCAGAGTCGACAATAGGGCGCACTGCGGACGCATTCTTTCTTCGGGAAGGAAGCAGTTCTGTCGAAGCAACAAGGAACTGTGATATCGGACTTGGCCGTGAACGATCGAGACATCGACGCGACTCCGTTCAAGCGCAACAAACACGTTTTGCACGCCTGTAAAATTTTGAGAACGTCCTCGACACTTGCTTCCTTTTGACAGAAAGACTGCGTCGGTGCTTCATTTGGGGGGGGGGGGGTATAGGGAGGCAGCGGCAACAACTATCGGATATGCCTTCTCGCGATCGATTCTCACTAGTTGAAAGAGAAAGAAACGACGAGAGGACGGATGGTCGGCGAGCCGGTGCGCCCCGTTTTCACCCGCAAGCACCGTACGTGGCACGCCAAAAGCGGTCATTTTGGAAAGCCACTGGGCACAAGGACAATGCCGATCCGTAAACGAATCACCATTATTTCGAGCATACTCGCGCAGCCGGTCACTGGCACGACGACCGGGGCAACCGTCCTCCATCGGATCCTTCTCCGAATACCCTGTTTAAGTCTCCTAAATATCGCGAGAAGAATATGGGAAACCGTGGCGTGTGTTTATAGTACAACGTGTGGCGAAACGGCGCGACCCAGTCGTGGCGAAGGTAACGTCAACAAAGTATTAAATCTAAGCGCGTATTCGGCCTAAAACCTACGAACGAACGTTTATACACGATTTCCCTAACTACTATTCACAATTCATAAATATTTTATATAACCGTATGCATCTATGTGTGTATATATATATATATACCTTTTTATATATATAATATATATGTATATATAGAATATTTATGTATAGATAATATACAGCTGTATCGTACAGTTCGGGGCCACGATTCGGTCGCGCGCCACGCGGACCAATAGCGTACCGGCAAGTCGACGATAAACGCGCGGCAGTAATATTTACAAAGTACCTAAAATTACTCTAAAGAGAATAGTAATAATATAAGTTATAGAGAACGCATTATAAACGGGTGCATACGCATATACACGCGACCGTGCACGCAATACGTATGCGTATATCTACGTATGCAACAACGACGCTATAGTAGCAATAGTAATAGGTATAGTAATAGTAATAGTAATAGCACTAATAATAATAGTCGCAGTGGTAGTAGCGGTAGTACTAGTAAGTCTGTATGTGAATTTCTACACGTAAACGAGGCGTGTGTGTGTGATCCTTACTAAACGCGGGAACGTAAACGATAAAAAATAAATAAACGCAAGACGAGTTCGGCGAATAATAAATTAGGAAAAGGTCGCGCGTGAAGAAAAAAAAAATGGGGGGCAAAAAATCAAGGAAGAAAAAAAACGAAAGGAAAAAAAAAAGAAAAATGAAAATACGATAGAAATAAGAAAAAAAAAAAAAAACGGAAAAACAAAATCGTTGCTTAAATACGTCGACACAGTTACGAGGGGAGAAAAATACTTATAGGTTGGTAATACGACGAAACGGTTAATTAATATCGTTAACGATAATCGTAGTAGCGTTACTAAATACTAGTGAAAATTAGAGTAATAGTAAGAACGACAACGACAATAGTTCGAACGCAATGAGTGTGACAGTAGTGTGTGTATGTGTGTTGTGTGTGTGTATGTGTGTTGTGTGTGTGTATGTATGTGATCTCGCATATCTAAACGGGTTACTACTTCTCTTAAAGCTATCCTTCATTTAGACGATTCTATCACCTATCTACTTAATTTATAGAGTCACGTTCGTGTGTGTCAAGTCTTTCGCGGGAAGAGGGGGGCACATCTCTGCTTCCCCCCGTTTTTACCGCTTCCCCATTTTGTACAACGATTGCTAATCTTCTTCTCCTCTTCGCTTTTTTCTTTTCGCATTTCTCTAAACGACTACTAAACTTCATCTCCAATTAAGATCTATAAACACTGTCCTCCTATAGTTCCCGGCTATACACAAATTGTTCGATCGCGTCCGCGAGGGCCAGAGAGATCGGTGACAAAGAAAATCGGACTAAGAAACGAGCGGGGAAAAAAACGCCGTGGTCGGACAACGATTTTTGTACTTACAAATATATAGAACTATGTATACAATCAGTATATATGCTTTACGGAGCCTGCTCTTCGTGAAATCGCGCTAATATTTACAACGTACCGGGGAGATAGGGGGGTAACGAACAACGAGAAGAATACTGTAATATGAAGAGAGCAAGGGGCCCCGCGGAATAACGCGCAAAATTCCGCGAATCCCTTTCAGGCAACGTAAACGTGTTTCGTTAAAGCTGCAAAGCGGCAATGTTGTCCCCCACTGCATTTTTTTTCTATCTTTTTCTTTTTTTTTTCTTTTTTGGTTAACTTCGACTATATAAATTGACGTCCTAAATTCGCTAGACCGACAGCGAGCGGGAAACAATTCGTACGAAAAACACGCCGCCGTCGATTTTCGCTTCTATAAAACTCGTCTGCAATTTTCTATGTAATTTTGGCTATATTTGGAACAGAATCTCGCTATATACGCTGCTACCCGCTTTGAACGCGAATGATCGAAGTGCGGCCCGGTTCGCGCCCCGATCGCCCCATAGTTCTGCACCCTGAAGCCACCTCGCCCCTCCACCTTCTCCTTCCATCGTCGTCGACCCAGGTACCCCGTGTTACATATTTTTTCGCCTCCGCTCTCGAAAAGAGTCGGCGAAGCGTCGATTTGACCGGTTGAAATTTTGATCGCGATGTCCCGATTACGTGTGGCGAATTGCGAATAACGAAATTCGCGCGGATGAACAGCTTTTATTTCCCTTTCTCCGTGACGAAAGTGGTGGATTCAGCCAGGCGACCTCGATCACGAACGTTACGTCACGGGCAGCGCGCTCGATGCTGCGAATACACAGCTAAAACCTTGGCTAAAAATTTCGCTATTCCTCGTGTATGTGTGTGTGTGTGTGTGTTCGCGTGCTAGAAACGACGTGCAGCAGCCATTTCAAGGTTCCCCGAGTTCGATAATAAATAGCAAAACGCAACTGGTGGAAAAAAGAACCGTCCGCAGCAGCTGCACGGATTTCCGATACACGCTTGTTTCCTCTATTTTTGCAATTTTTTTTTTTTTCACCGTTTCTTATTTGTCCACCTATTCCCCTGTGTGCCTTGTCAGAGGTCCGTTATCGTATAAACGCTTTGAATTTTTACCTAAAAAATTTGTCCTATGCTGTACATAACGCTCGGAACGCGCTAGAAGAACGCTAACTTATCCTAGTATGTATCTCTCCTAACGACGAGTTACACGCTTAACAAACGATCTATCGCATAATCGCCTCCTCTGGCCACTGACGGATAACGAGATACGTCGGTGATCGCACCTCGCGGACATCGTGATTACCGTCGTCATCGGTGAAACCTCTGTTCGTCCAGTTCCATCCGAAACGTTCATATCAGTCTTCTATTTAAGCGGTGGACTCCTGCAGGCCGTCGTAATGGACTCGCATGTTCTCGATCGCTCTACACCACTCCAATGCGAATCCTTCGGGATCTTCGAGATAATACGTTCTGTTTGGCTGTAACGAGACGAACAAAGTCGAACGATAAGTACACGCGTCGCAAGGTAGAAGAGGTTCAATTCATCAATTCATCAATTCCTTTACGCAGGAATCAGGAAAAGCAGGAAAAAGAAACTTACCGTGTGGACGAAGAAGATCTTGAAGCTCTTCGGCTCGACCCTGAGCTCCGGGCTCCAGGGTATCTCACCCTTGAGCACCATGTTCACAGGGTCGACGTAGTACAGGTGTGGTCCGGTGGTGAGCAGGAGCATTCTTCGCCTGGCAAAGAGGCCTTTCCTCTTGTTGACGAAGCCCTGCTTCAGTATCAGGTTACCCTCGACGAAGGTGTTCCACTGGCTCGTGGCACGTTGCTTCTCCAGCCGGTTTCTGACGTCCTCTGGCGTCAGATCGGCGATGTTACCGTCGTTGGTGATCCTCGTTCTCCTCGGCTTCTCGACGACGGTTTGTAGCACGGGTTTCTCGCGCTCGATGGTGGTATCCTCGTCGTCGTCGTCGTCGTCATCGTCGTCCTCGCCGATACCCAGGCCGAGAAGCCTCGTGAGCTGTTTGTCGTCGAGACCGGGCTCCAGATGGTCGGGAACCCTGTACTGCGACCTCAGCTCCTCGTTCTCCGACGTGCCGGGTAGATAGGGATAGATCGGAGGTGGTGTCTGCTCGTGGAGGGTCTCGAAATCGACAGCCTCGAAGAACGGGTGCGCCCTGATGCTGGGATAGCCGGCACCGTGTTCGTCTTGGGCGCCCAATCTCTTGCATGGCTCGAGCACCAACAGCTGACTGACGAGGGACCTGGCCAGGTCACAGAATCCGTCAGGGATCTCGTACTCGAGCTTCAGGATCTTTTGGAATATCATGTACTCGCTCCTAGAGCGGAACGGGGGCAGGCCAGCGACCATCTGGTAGATTATACAGCCGAGGGCCCAGAGATCGGAGGCTCTGCTCGTCTTGTCGGTCAGGAGCTCCGGCGACACGTATTGGGCGGTGCCAACAAACGAGCCCCTGCGTTCTCTTCGGTACGGTTGCTGCTGCTGCTGCTGCTGCTGCTGTTGTTGTTGTTGCTGCTGCTGCTGCTGCGAGTCGTCGGTCCCTGTGTGCGTCATCACTGTCTCCGGGTCCTTCAGTATCTTCGCGCTACCGAAGTCGGTGATGAGCACGTGCATCTTTTCGTCCAGCAAGATGTTCTCCGGCTTGAGATCCCGATGGATGATGCCGAGACCGTGAAGGTACTCGAGGGCACGAAGGACCTCCGCCGAGTAGAACTTGGTACACTCGATGTCGAATGAGCCAACCTTGTTGATGTACGGCAGGAGCTCACCGTTCTTCGCGTACGATAGGACGAAGTAGAGTCTTTCCACGTCTTGGAAGGTGCAGAACAGGCGCACGAACGAGTGTTTCGCGCCCGCGAGCATGTTCAACACCTCCTTCTCTCGCTTCACGTACTCGGTCTTCTTCTCCTTGATGATGTGACGCTTGTCGCACACTTTGATCGCGTACTCCTTCGAGGTATGGATATCTTTGGCGAGGTAAACCTGCGTGTCGATCAAAATAACGCGTCGATTAGATCGATATTGCCGGCGTGCGGTATAGCAAACGCGATAGAAGGAGAAGGACGAGGTAGAGAAGAAGCTGGTGGTAGCGTGGTTGCGGTAGTGGTGGTGGTGGTGGTGGGTCGCGGAACGGAAAAAGTTTCAGGGACGACTGCTACTACTACCGCGTGCGAGAGAAACTTTCTTCGTAACAAGGGGAAAGTTTGAGAGGAATCGCACCGAGAGAATCCGAGGAGGGCGACACTTTTTCCTCGCCCCCTTTCTTCTCTCCAACCCGGTATAATTCGGACCTCCTTAACGATTTAATCGAGTTAACGAGATAATACACTTACGGTGGAGAAGCTTCCCTCGCCGATCGCCTTGCCAAAGATGAAGTCCTTGGGAGTACGCTTGTGCGTTGGCGGGTTGATGGTGGTGAGAGCCGGGTTCGTGGTCGGCGAAACCCGGGGCGCCAGGGTGTTGGGTGGCGCTACCACACCATTGGTCACGTCGTTCGTTGGTGGAGACATTTTGGACACCGGCCCCTCCACCGTTACTGCCGGCTGTGGCGAAACGGTAAGCGCCTGGTTCGCCACACGCTGCAACACAAACGCCGACGACTTAATTACTTAGCGTTCGTCCAACTATTAATTTTCTCGCGTGCAACGATCCATCGAGCTCGATGGCCTCCTAAACGGCATCCTAAACGGCCTTCTAAACGGACACCGGCGCAACGTCCATCTTAAAAACCGCCGCGGTTTATTCGTCGCCATTACTCGCCATTACTCGCCATTACGTGTCCCCATTTTTAGGAAACCAGAACTAACGACGACTCGTTAGCGACGATGGAGAGCTACGAAAACGAACGAAACCAAGTGGGACGAACTCGTGTCCGGGCATACTCGACGCTCCGCTCATCCGCCAACGATCGTCCGGTATCAGGAAATCAGGCGCCGGAAGTAGAGTCACCGGAACCAACACGTGGCCACGTCGCGCAGGTCAGGAAGACGGAGACTCTTTAGTCGTCAGTCATCCTAACCATCTGGCGACTTCGTGCCAAACGAAAGCAACCAAAATGTCGCGCGCGCGCTCCGTTTCGCATCCAAAGCACGTTGGAAGATCAAGGGTGCGCGCACGATTCGATACGTACGCGTACACTTTTCGAATGCCGCGTAATCCAAGGCGACTTTCCAACGCGCATTCCGCGTAATCGTCTCGGGAATATGTCGTAACAGAATTTTATTTTTATTTTTCTGTTTACAGCGAATTCGGCGAGGAAATTGGAGGACATCGAGAGGAGAAGGAGAGGCGAAGGATGAGAGGAAGAAAGAGAAGGGTTTGGTCGTGCATGCACGCACACGGGTACGATTTTTAAGCGGTGATCGCTTCATTTCCGGTCCGAAAGACGATCGCGCCCCTTTCGCTTGCCGCTTCCTTCCTCCCATCACCATTGTGTACTTCCGTCCAAAGACGGATCCCGCGTTATACCGTGGCCGTGACAAAAGAAAGGAACAAGTTCTCATCCTCGAACAAGAGAATCCGGATGATCCTCCGTCGAAATGCTCTCCTTTCTTCTCTGACCTTCCCTCCTCTCTCGCGCTCCCTCTTCTCCCTCCGGCAGAACGGTCTTTGACCGTTTCCCAAACCTGCACACGCCCGTTGACTCCCCAAACAAGCTCTTTTCGCCGTGCAGAAGACACAGGAAATGCGCGTTGCGAGCAGCCTTTTGCTAACAGCGCGGGTAAATATCGACGACATCTTAACGAGACGCCGTCATCGCCGAAAATGAGCGTCAAAAGAGATCCGGAGGGGAACGAAGATGGCGGGCACAAAGCGAGATCGCGACAAAGAGTCGCAGGTTGCGGTAAATAACGTTGCGATAAATAACGCGAAACAACGAAACGACCCATTTTCCTTCTTCGAGAACATTCTCTCTTCTCTCTGTCTCTCTGGCTCCTTCTCTCGGGAATGGGACGAAAGAGCGGGCGATGTATACGCGATACGTTCGGGATTATAAAATCGTGGAATCGATCGATTATCGAATTCCCCGTAAGTTATGTCAGGGAAGGTAAACGATATTCCAGTCGCGATTCTCCGATTACGTCGTGTCGATAACGAACTCTCGTCCACCACTGACCGATCCACACCGATCGACGAAAGGTTTCGACGAATTAATCCAAGATTTTGCGACGTCGACGGAGAGAGGGTGCAATTACAGTGGAAGAGGCAGCGAGAGAGACAGAGAAGGATTTATATTTAGACGATGAAAACGCAAGTCGGCAAGGCCCTTTCTTTCGCATCCTCTTTATCTAACCTTTCCTCGTTCTTCTTTCCAGGCCGGTTACAAGGCGCGGGCCCCACGGCGTCAACCATCCGTGTCAGGACGTCGACCTCGTCGAGCATTTGCCCGAGAGCCACCCAACGGCCCTACTACTACTACTATTACTACTACTACTATTACTACTACTAGTAGTACTACTACTACCACTATTACTACTACAACTACTCCCTCTGCTTGGCTGGCTTTCGCTTTGCCCCGCTAGTTTATTTATTTGCTTATCTATTCCTTGGTCCCCTGACTCTCGTCTACTTCTCTCGTCCTCTCTCTCCTACTCTCTCCGCACGGCGAGCAAGGGGGATAACCACCGACGGATACCGCAGGATAGAGAGCAGCGTCGATCGCTAGATATCAAGGAGAGAAGTCTCGAGAGCAGAGGGGACTCGGATAATCGATATACCGACTAACGTTCCACTAGACGACCTCGCAATTTGCTTAGATCGTAGATATATGCCCGGTTCGAGAGTATCAGGCAGAGAGAGAGAGAGAGAGAGAGAGAGAGAGCGTCACCCGTTTAAAATAAACCGCTCTCGCGTAGGTAGCCGTGTAGAGTATGCGCGCGCTCTCGACCTCGCCGACCTAGACGAATCGTAAACGTCGACCTTTTTCGAGACACGGGGCATTTCGATTCGTCGATGACCCTGCGACACTTTCGCGCGCACGTCCCGCCCAGTGTACTTACTACACTGGCACGCGCTGCGGCGACGACGCTTCGAGGACGCGGTCCGTTTCCAACGAAAAGAGAACGCGAGAAACATCGTCGTGTTGTCCTCTCGCGCGCGAAAGAACGCGCGCACCGCAGAGAGAAGAACCGTTGACACGATAGACCGCGAGGAAATTTGCCGGAAGACGAAACCCGAAACGCGCGCACAACGGTCGATCGATCTTCTAAAAACGAATAACTTGGCGCGCGCGTCCGTTAAACTCTCCCTCCCTCTGCTCCTCGCGCGCGTGCTTCTCTCTATCCTCCCGCGATTGCTGAATCACCCTGTACACACAACCCAGCAGCATTCCAACGGACATTCTAATTTTAGCCTTGCTCGTCTCGTCTCCTTCTCTCGCGGGACAAGCGCATTCTCTGTCCGCGCGCGCCTCGTAACGTTCTCCGCCTCTCTCGCGCTCTCTAGGCTCGCCGCGAGGTTATGTTTTTCATCCAGCCTGCCGAGTGCTGCCCTCTGCCGATGGTACGCGACACTTTCCTCTCTTTTCTCCTTTCCCTTCGGCGCGCACACACACGGGCCAGACGAGAGGCCGGGAAGACGAGCCGCACGCGACGCGCGGCAGAGAGAGACGCGCAGAGCAATGATCGCGCTCCGCCCCCCACCCCGCGGCGCATCGGGCTTTTTGCCGGCTACCAGAAGGGACTACGCCTATTGGCGCAGGCGGCCAGCACTTTTGCCCGTGAATGAGATGTTTTGCATTCGCAGACGCTGAGAAACGTGTCGCGCGCGGGCTTCGCGACTAAATTGGAACACGCCAGAGAGCATCGGGCAGAGCTCCGCGCGCCCGTTCCAGACATGCTCTACTAATAAAAGGGTCCCGCCGCGTGCAACCGGGCGTCGATATTCCGTTAAACCTCCACCCGTTTCTTTCCCCGTAACCGACGCTCCCTTTGTCGCTGGTCTACGCGTGCACCCCGCTCGCTCATCTTCGTTTCCACTCGCGCGCCACGTTTTCAAAGCGTCGCGCGCTCCGCTCCGCATAGCCGATAGATAGCCAAAGCGCACTGGGCCCCGCAAGCTCTCTCGACGCGCGCGCGCACGCTTGCTTCCTGCAATGGCAACAACAGTCGTTCTCGAATATTGTATTCCGACTTTGTTGCCCTATACACGCGACAATAACGTTTCTAATCTTCGTATTACCGTTATTGTCTCTCTCGTCCAACAGCGGAAAGCACATTCACCAAAAGCAGCGAGTAGTTTACGTGCAGGGGAGAAAACAGCGTGTGTAAAGCGAAGAGCAGAAAAGTTTCAATCGATCAAGATGGAGACTATATACCAGACTGTTATTGCGTTTCGGGTTGTTTACTAGCGTCGAAGGTGTTACTACGTGTTGCACAAACTTGCGAAAGGGTACAACGAATTTGTAAACACCGTTCATCGATTCCCCTCTCTCTCTCTCTTGATGTATAGTTGATCGAAGTTACAAGGGTGTTATCGACGGAATCAATCTCACGCGTGAATATTTACGCGTATGGCTGGCCACGCACAGCGTCGTAGCTGCTCGAAGAGGATTCGCGACGCGTTGCGTCCATTCGATCCCGCGCGTGTCATTGACCAACTCTCGCGCTCGTCGTGATCGCTGGAGATTTTTATTTTTTCCTTTCGAGTACCATCGAGAGATAAGCGCGGCAGCGTCGACGGAGACCCCCGACTACGTCGTGACCAACGCGGCCGCCAAACTGTTTGCTTTCGCATCCTATCGTATAAACACGCGGTCGATCCAAACATGTTTTTTCGGTCGCGGACCCCGATCAGCCTTACGACCATGCTCCCTCTCTCTCTCTCCAGTGTAGCGGAATTTTGCCATCACTCCAAGTTCACGTGTATCGCGCTCCGACGACTCGATCTCTAGATCGCCGTTTGCTTTCCAGCATTCCGTCGATTCGCTCTCGACTCGTATCCCGACACACGCGTTATTAACGCCGCGACGCCGTGTTTAGTCGACAGTCACCTTTCCACGCGCGCGAGTATGTCACTCCCGATGCCTATTTGTTTTCTTTCCCTTGTTTTCATTCGCAGTTCATTCACGGCGGAATAGAATTATTTCCTCGGGACGAGCGAAATTTACGATCGCGATTTTATTTCGCGAATTACACGTCGCGAAATTTACGATTTCGTAATTTCGAATTTTATTCGAGGGAAATTTCACCACGGATTTTGGTTCCCAGAGACGAATCTTTCGGGTGAAAATGGAATCGGCGTTTGACAGACGCGAATTTTTAATTAACGTCACTGTATTTTTCCACTGCGTCGCACTCGATGCATCGAATATAGAAAAATTTTCGGGGGGTGCAGGATATGTTATTGCTGCAAGGCTCCGGAAACGCTGTTTCCACGGCAGATTCGCGTACAAAGTTGCGTTCGACGGTGAACGTAAACAACTTTCGGACCGCGGCGTGATTACGTCGCCTGTTTTGGAACCGAGTGTGCTTCGGGCGAATTTATTTTAAATGCGAGCCAACGTAAATTATTCATGCTCCGAGGCAGTGTGTTAACTTCCTTCTTTCGTCTCTTATTCCAAGCCAGTATTATCTCCGTA